AACATTAGTCGGGGAGGGGCTCTGGGAGGAGCTGAGTAAATTTAGTCTCACGTCACACAACACCACATTCGACTAGGAGCAGGTACGATTCAGATATCTTAAAATATAATTGTGACTAGTCGAAACTGAATTAGAGATATCTCTAATTACCTTTGCGTATGTGTGACGCCCTATTGAAGATATCTGTGACGTCATTACAGATATCTTAAATGGAGTTTTGACTAGTCATAAAGTATTTAGAGATATCTCTAATCCGATTTCTTACTAGTGCAATTATAATTGCAGATATCTCTAATTGTCATTGTGACTAGTCGAATTATAATTATGACTCGTCAAAATACAATTGTTCCTATCTTAAATTATATTTATGGATAGTCAAAACAAATTTTAAATGCTAAAACAGCTTGCGATACTCCGGAAGGATAAAAGGGAGGAGTGACGACAATGTCGGACGAGAGAGGACCAGGCCTGGAGTTTATTTTGTGTTTTGTGTGAGGCAGTCGTCCGCGAGGGGCTGCCGCTTTAATTTCGTTTTGTGTTTGTTTATTTTATTAAAATCTTTAAAGATCCGCCGGTTCCCGCCTCCTTCTTCCCGAACTACGAACTTTGTTACAGTTACATTTAGCAATTCTGTGCACTTCTTTATTACTCACATGCAAACTTCACATTGAGGAAGACTCTCTGTGAGGTGACCTCCGGCGCTTTGCTCCAGACCCCGGTGGCGGTCGACCGGATCCAGGGCGTTGCGGTGCAGTGATAGTCACCTGCGTCGCTGTCCTGTGTGCTGTGGATGTTGAGGGCAAATCTTTTGGGTCCCAGGCGCTCCAGGCTGCAATCACTGCTGTCGTTGCGAGGGGCCTTGTGCACGACGCCCCAGCGGTCCATACTGGCTAGCAGGGACGCGCTGTTTGAGCCCCTCAGATGACTCAGAAACCACTTAATCTCGTACGCTACATCGTCTGACGAGGAAGAAATCACAGAATTATGATTAAAATGCACTGTAAATAAAAGCAGTAAATCTATATAGAGTTGGTGTTGCTATAGAATGAATGCGGTTTACAGGTTTCATAGAAAGAGAATGATGTGTACCAAATGAGTCGCTGTAAAAATCGAATACTTTAATGGTTGCGGACGAAATAGCTCAACACGAGAGCCAACGCAAACGCAATGACACGTGAACTAAAACGTCATGTTTTAAAGAAGTGTGGCTTGATTAAGAGATGGAAATAGTGGATGATGGGCACAGAACGGTAACAAAACTGAGACATTTACAGTCACACACAGGTGTAGTAGTGTCCAGAATTTACATTTAAAATTATTATTTTTTTTAATATTTAGCTTACAGATCTCAGTTTAAATGCTTCAGTTTGTTTTCTATTCTATTCTATTCTATTATAAACCTATTAAATAATTGACCTCAAAAAGGGAATTCATGAGCAATATCTGCTTCATATTTTCATATTATTATATAATATTATATTATATTACAAAGAATTGAACTGTTCCGATTTTTTTTTTGAATACTTTTTTTAAATAGAATTTCTTGGTAACACAGCATTGAAAAAAAAAATTTCTCAGGTAACCTAAAATGTGCATCATTTAGTTACATCAAGGGTGAAATCAAATATAAATAGCACATTAAAGTTAAAAGTTACACACTTTTTTGTTTGTGCACTGTACAGGTCTGGTATAAAGAATGTTTTTGCTCAAGAGGCTGAAATACTGTTTCATGCCTTTTCCCCTCTCAATATAATACAATAACATTGTGTCATAAGAAAATATTAAGTTTTTAATCTACCTCCATATGGAGTATAAAAAGCACAGAAAACTGCCTCTAGATTTAAAAATACTACCAACGAGGACATATTTTTAGGACTGCAAATTGCCAAAAAAATTCCTTCCTTTGAGATGCATTTATTTGAGGATCCTCTACTGCTTTTTTTTTTCTAGCATAGCTTATTATTATGGAGGTTGTGCCAAGATCTCATCAAATTGCAAATCTTTCAGCTCCATTTCTTGCAGAAGTCTTTTTCCTTCACTAACACATACTGGTTCAAAGAACTAAAGATCAATTAGAAGATGTGGCATGTCCTATAAAAATAACACTTTCTGTATCCCATCGCTGGAACAGCAATGAAATGCACATCTATGCGTAGAGAACGAGTGAAGGAGATGACTATAAAGCCACGATGGTCCCAAACTAGCAATTGGACTGACTGTACGACGGCCCACTGCTGTCAAACCCACGCGCTGACTCAAAAACCTGAACACAACGGCCATCTTTCCCCATTACAGACCAAGACAATGACAATGGAAGAGGAGGAAGACAGAGAGAGAGAGAGAGAGAGAGAGAGAAACCAACCAAAACATTGCAGGACATTAGCCTTTGAGTAATTGTTATCGCTCTTTCATAGTTCAGGAAACCATGACACGTTCCTAACAATAATTAGGAATTAATGTAAATGCATTATAAAGGCACAAATGCATGAATAACTGCATAAACAAATACATAAATATATAAATAAATGCACAAATGCATAAATTAATGCATAAATAAATAAAATGCATGAATAAATGCATAAATAGATAAATGCACAAATGCATAAATAAATAATATGCACAAATGCATTAATAAATGCACGAATAAATTAATGCCCAAATTCAGAAATAAATGCATAAATAAATACACAAATAAATGCATAAATAAATAAACATAAATAATTAAATAATAAATAGATTAAAAAATTAATAAATATATATAAATAGATAAATGGATAAAATATAAATAATTACTGATCCATTTATGCTTCTTTTAAGAATCAATTTAGTCTCAGATGATTTTCCTATTCCTATCATATTCCTTCAGAGAAATAAGAATAAAAAAGACAGACATAAATTAGTCAATAATTGACGAAGTAAGAATACAGAGCTTATAATATGAATGTGAGCACATTGCTGAGGAGGAGATGCATGCAACATTACTGGAGTCTTTTGTTCAGGAGAAACATCTGAGAAGCAGGATACTCTCGGTTTAATCTCAATGCTGTCTATGAAACAACAGTTACTACAGACCTCACTGGTGATTTTTCAGTCCTGTGGGGAAAATATAAAGAGAACAAAAGTACACTGACCTGGGGTGCAATAGATCTGAGTCATATTGAATATCTCGCTAATTACAGTTATTCTGTGGATTCGTCAGAGGATTGTGGGTAATGTGGTTAATTACAGTATAAGCCCAGCGCTCATGTTTGACCAGGCTGCTATTGCGCAAAAAGAAATCCTTGGATGCTAAACAGACTCATTTATAGTGGTGACCATTTTTCATTTTGAAAATCATAAATCCGATACTGTTTTTTTTTTTTAAGTATGAACGCTAGTAACAGTGATGCTTGCCTTAGTAAACACTACTAAATACATTTTTGAGGACTGATGTGCGTCTAATCAGTGGACAGTGTTCTCTTTCGGTAATGGCAGTGTTTTATCTTCATGACGTATCGAGTCATTTGAGATAGCGAGACGCTCTCAAGAAGAAATGCTAAGGCTCCATTATTCCTCCTACGATTTCCACGATCCCGTGTCCACCCTGAGCTAATGTGTTTGGAACTTGACTTACAATAATGAGGAAGGGTCAGTGGCTGGAGCGGAGCAGGCATAGTGAGATACAAGCTGAGGGACACGTGCACACATCTGGCCTGAGGGAAAGCCGTGAAAAGCCATTCGATTTAATGTGCTTAAACCGAATGATCTGCACGAGGGTCACAGATTTTTGTGGATCCTTTAAACACACATGGCAGTCCTCTGAATGTAAAGGCCTATTCAAACTCATTTCCGCTGTGACACAATTTTGAAGCCAACATGAAATGAAAAGTTTCATTATTCCGTTTGTCTTTGTAATCTTTATCAAATGAAATAACTGTGTCCACCTCAGAACAATTTTTTTTCCAGCTGTGGAGAAACAAAGCTCACTGACCAATAAGATATAAATAAATTGAAATACTATTTTATTAAATATAAATAATAGTAAATTATATTTGTGTGTGTCTGTGTAATAATATGAAATAAATATTTAATTTCAGAATCTATTTATTTTTTCATAATATTTCAAACCTAAGAACAAATTTTAATATTTAAAATGTTTGTATAAAAACATACAACATAAAAATATATATTTTTTTATTTTAAAATTAAATTTTTATAAAAATAAAAATATAATTAGAGTAAAAAAAAAAACTTTTCATAATTTCACCTTTAAAAATTCTTTAAGCCTGATAATCATGCTCTCCAGCATGATTTGAGATCTTCCAAAGAGTATTTCAAACCTCAATAGAAGAAAATCTGACCAATTGTACAAAGAGTCACATGACCAACAGAGAAAGTTCCAAATTGTAAGCTGATTTTGTGTCTTATATTTTTAACGTGCTCTCAGACATTTGAACCGTATATCATGAACATGTGTGGAGGAAGAACCAAAGGCACGTCAAGGTGATACAGATGCAGAAGCTTGACTAGAACCTGCTCTTTTCAGGGACAGCAGACACAGAGCCTTACATAAGAGACAAAATATGGTAATGAAGCCCCGCAGCCGAGGCGAAGTACATGCTGTTCATCCCCTAAGATTACAGTGTTACTGATGTGGCAAGACTTTGGCCTTAGGAGAAAATAAAGCAGTGGAGAATGAGAGCTATTAGACGAATGACAGATTACAATGAGCTAAAGCATCCTTACAGGTAAAACAACACGGCAGGATTTGTCTCGAGGAAAAGTTGTTCGTATTACAGCTGACACAATCTGATCTCTACAAGAGATGATAATACTGTAACACACACAAACTCATAACAAAACACATACAGACTCATAAACACACGCGCATAGAAAAGACAACTCACAAGAGATCTCATTGTGTCCTTATGAGTGTTGTTATTGTTAACTAATGAAAAAAATTGTTAACTGAAATGAAAACCTTAAACTTAAGAAACTTAAATTAGTTTATAAGTTTAATTTGAAGTTCTAAAATTACTGAAATAAAATTGAAATAAAAATAATATTTAAAAACCAACAAAACTGACAAAAGCATATAACAATTATTAAAAAAAAAAAAGTACAAATAAAATTAAAACTGGAAATTAAAGAAACTATCATTCTAACCAGTCATTAAGAAGCAGAGAAAAAGGTACACCTCTCAGAAAACATAAATACAAATAAAGATAATTTTAGATGATTAATTACTATTTGGAGCATTGGGATCACTACAAGAGGGCTTAATTAACTCATTTTTGTGAAAAACTCAAATTCGACCAAAATTGACTTTAACTTTTTTTATTGCCTGTAGCTCAAAATTAGGCCGTGCACAATCCAACATATTTTGCCAGCATGGGTCACAAATACTATAATAGTACATAAATAATAATAAAATAACAATTAAGACAGAAATTAGATTAAACGGAAAATATCAAATTATCCACAATAATTTTACAGCTATATTGAGTGAAATGGAAGCTACTGATTTTAGAAGAAACATCTGGACAACCTGATATTGCAATAAAAAGTAACTGAGAATTTTTTTTTCCTCAGAGCTTTTAATGCATGCATTCATGGAAGCTTATTTCCAAAATGGAATTAAAATAAATAAATAAATAAATAAAATAAAAAAAAATAAAAAAGGCAAATTGCAACTTTTTGTCTTTCAATTTTTACCTTTTTCTCAGAATTGCATGAAAAAAGTCAGAATTGCGAGATACAAACTTAGAATTTGGGCTAAAAAGTCAGAATTGTGTAATAAAAACTCAACATTTTAGATTAAAAGTCAGAATTGTGAGATAAAAATGAAATGTTAGATGAAATGTCAGAATTATGAGACAGAAACTCAGAATTGCGAGATACTCCATAAACTCAGAATTCTGAGAAAAAAAAGTCAAAATTGCAAGATATAAACTCAGAATTGCAAAACAAAACTGCGTGG